TTCAAGCTATGGCTCCCCTTCGTCCCTGATCCTTGTTCCGTTTGGCATGTTTTAATGTTCAAACACTCATGCAGATTGGACAGCAAGCCGGTCTAGCGCGCATCCTAGAGTCCCTCGATATTGATGTCTGCTGCCTTTCAGAGACCCAAGCACTGTGCTTACATTGACATCCCCCACTGACGACGAAACCAGATATCACCTCCGTCTTTCTGGAGATCCAGAAGCAGCCTCAGACGGTTTGACTGGTGTAGGTATAGCACTAAGTGGCAAGGCCGAGCCGGCACTACTGGACTGGTTCCCGATTAACAGCCGATTATGTGCAGTTCGGCTTCGGGGTTCATGTAGAAGCAACAAGCGCCGCGGAGAGAGACGCAACTTGTTTGTGATCTCCGTGTACGCTCCAACGGACTGTAGTGGCGACTCGGTCAAGGACGAATTCTACCGGGATCTACATCAGCTCTTGACTAATATTAAAAAGTCGGATGCGTTGTCCTTGCTGGGGATTTTAATGCACGGATTGACCGCCTGTTACCATACGAACGCCATCTTGGTGGTCACCACGTGTTCGAGTAGAACCGCTCTGATAATAGAGAGAGGCTTCACACATTGTGCGAAGACAACCATCTGTTTCTCTCGAGCACTAACTTCAGGCGTGCGAAGAAGTGTTCCGTAACTTGGCGTCCCCCTTCGCCAACACAATCGTGGTCTCAAATTGATCACATTGCAATTAGCTTCAGATGGCGTGGCAGCGTACTGGACTGCAGGTCCTTTTGGTTCACCCTCGTTGCCTCAAATCATACACTTGTCTGCGCGAAAATCTGCATGTATTTTGGGGGTCCCGAAACACGAAGCACTGATTACTCTATCCAGGTGAGCTATTAGTCTTCACTGGCATATGCACTTTTGTAATCCGCCGCAAGACGTGGACTTGTACACAGAAAGCGATGCCCATTTCCGGACAGTCAAGCTGCGGCTTAGCCCGATGCCCCTTCAAGGCTTGGATCTCTGGAGCTTTTCGAACGCTGCAAAGACATCCTCGCGGAATCAGATTGCAATGAGTGGTGCTGTTCTCCCAACCAGCTGCTCAAGCAAAGTCTACACAAGGATCACGAGACATGGTGGTCTGAGCGTGCTTCAGAGATGGAGACCGCTGCCCTCTCTGGCAGCACTCGCAAACTTCTCCAACTCATTCGGTCCACTGTCCTCAGGAAGTCTGGTGTCAGTGAGGTCATTTGTGAGGTGGATGAGTCTCCGACCACCAACCGAGGCGTATGGACTACTGGGCCGAGCGCTTTCACTCGCAGTCCAACTGGCCACCACCATCCATCGCTACATGCAGTACACCTTGTTGTCCACCCTGGCTCGTCCCACTGAATCCACGCAGCAAAGAGGAAGTCTGCCTCGATATCCGACGCCTGAAGCGGTTCAAGACTGCCCACTCAAGACTTTCTCCGGAGCTGTTCAAGTACCGCGCTGTTCGCAAAAATTTGGCATGAGCAGTAAGTGCGAACCAGTTACTGTCCCGATTTTCAAAAAAGGCGCTCGCATTTCATGTGTAAATCATCGCGGGATAAGTCTTATTCCGGTTGCCTCCTAGCTATTGGCATCCATTTTGCTCCGTAGACTATTGCTAATACGGGGATTATCCTACCGTGAAGAAAAATCTGATTTCCGTCCCTGCTGCGGATGCATGGATCACATTTTCACGCTCCACCAGCTCCACGAACATCGTCACATCTATCACAGACCCACTATCGTCGCATTCCTAGACATGCGGGCTGCATTTGACTCGGTTGATCGACCTGCTTTATGGCGTTGCTTGCTAAAGAACGGGGTGCAGGAGAAGTATACCGTCATCCTACGCGCATTTTACCTTCATACATCCGGTAGAGTGAGGGTCTAGGGCAAGCTTTCCTCGCAATTCACTGTCAATAGCGGTGTGCGACAGGGCTGCACTATGTCCCCATTCCTTTGCAACTTCGCAATCGAAGACGTTTTGTCAAGTGCCCTAGAAGATCTCCAACATTTTGACTTAGAGCTTCTACCGGGTGAGCGCGCGACCGACTTAGATTATGCTGATGATATCGCCTTACTTGGTGACGATCCTCAGGGTATACAACTCATTCTGGATCGTTTGGCGGTTGAAGCATCTATGGCATGAGGTTCGCCCCATCGAAGTGTACAGTACTGTTCAAGGATTGGTTTTCACCTGCTCCCGTACTCACTCTCGAAGGTTCATAACTTGAACAGGTAGATAGTTTCGTCTACCTTGGGAGCTGTTTCTGATGACGACACTATTAACAAAGAAGTTTCTCTTCGTATCGCTAAAGCTCGATCAGCATTTGTCAATCTGAGGCATTTGTGGCGTCGTTGCGACGTCTCATTCTCACTAAAGGGCCGCGTTTACAGCGCATCAGTTCGCTTAGTATTGTTGTATGGGAGCGAGACATGGCCGATTCGCGTGGAAGCCATGCGTCGTTTTTCTGCCTTCCATAACGGCTGCTTTAGGAGGATTGCTCGTGTTTGGTGGCAACACCAAGTGAACAGCAATTACGTTCGACGTCGCATCTTAGGGAATGCCAGTATTTCCTTCAACAAACGGGTTTTGTTGCGTCAGTTGAGATGGCTCGGTCACGTCCTACGCATGGCACCTGAGCGTCTATTGAGTCGCGCTCTATTCGCTCGTCAAAGACCTGGCTGGAGACGACCGCGTGGGAGTTAGCCTTCCACTCGGCAACAGCACATGAAATCGCTGACGTCGTGTCTAGCTGCTGTTGGACCCATGCATCTTCCAGGATGCGGACCCAAAGATGAGGAGTGCCAATGGATTAACACTCTTGAAGACATGACCAGCAATCGGAATCAGTGGAAGAATTGTGCACAGAATTGTACTGATTCCCATGTTCAATACTTCAAACATTAAAAATGACAAAAGAGAAAAAGCGGCGTGTGAAAAATAAACTGAAAATGCTTTGTTCTACTTTTTGTCAAGATGGTCCTGCCTCCCTGCGGCATATTAGCTGAAGTGTGTTGCTCACCTTCAACTACTATGCCACGATGACTTCTGCTTATCCCCTAATCTCCATAGTTTTTATTGGTTCTATGTCTAGTTGCTAGAGTGTTGAGATTACATAAATAAATACATACATACGGTTACTCGAGGACCAGTGTGTTTTGTGACTAACCAACTAGTGCAACATCCCCATCTGCTAAAAGACGACTCGTAGGAAATGGCGGAGGTTGGGGAGGAAGCATGTATAAGGCGATGTTCGGTTCAGTCAGGTCATTCAATTGGGGTGGGACTAAATGGCTAACTGTGTCGCAGCCCATTCGATACTAGAACTATTCGCTAAACATAAAGCTATGATGAAAACGGAAGGTCTCGTAACTGCAATCTCTAATTACTGGTATTTAAAAGAGGGGTACCAAATGAGTTGAACTCTATCAAGATTTACATAAGATGCAGCGAAATTTGTGGTGTCCACAAGGAGAGAGCGAAGAAGCAGGAATACCACAAAGTAGGTTCGATCGTTCAGCGATATCCAGACAGGGACTGTGAGCGCGACACAAAGTATCGACGGAAGATGAAGTGTGATTTTCATAAATTGTGCTTAGACGCACCCAAAGTGGCTCACTGAACGCCCCTAGGGCCTTGATTCTTAGCGTATTCAGAACATATTAGTCTGGATCAATGGTCTGTGTCCCGGGGTGAGGTGAACGACAAAGGGCTGGGGTTCCGTTTAAGCTGCAGTTCGCATGCCAGAAATTCTTGCCCCCCATTCGTGAACATGAGTGAAGGCTGGCACTTAAGCATCCAGAATAGACACTAGCATGGAGCATTAGGTCGGTGCAGCTTTCAATCACTCGCATTCCTCATACATCACTAGACGATACAGTAGCTCTATAGATATCCTGGCGGTCTGCATTCTACAAACCTGAATAAGCCACGGGCAATTGCTAGACGATGTGTAAAATACGTCGCAAGCATCGTCGATGGGATGGTAGTAAATACCGAGTAGCACACTGGCAGCGTGAAACCCGCTGCTGTAAGTGATTGACAGCATCAGTGAGTCGGCGTTCAAACACCGTAGTGGGGATATCAACAGCTCCACCAAACGCTCCCAGTTCACCATATAGAGCACAGAACAGTAGCTTTGGTTCGATGCTACCAAGGAGGAATTTTATCATAGGCAAAGATTTTCGGTCGATAGGACTCATCGAGTTGACACGGTTGCAAAGTAAATAAGTAAAACAAAGTTTTATTCCAGACTATGCGGGACACAGCATTAGAGGTATGAGCATGGGAATGGGAAACCGCCAAGCGATGTGTTTAGGCATGGGTACAGACACAATGGTATTGACGAGGTAGCTAATTTTAGCTGCCTACCGATGCTGATGTGAAGAGGATCGCATCACTAGCAGGTACAAGTGGGCGGTTAGGAACGTTAGCACTGATTATGGAAAAAAAGCATGATGCGATACTGTGATTGCCGATTCTTGTCAAGGAGTGCAGGAGGCACTACAAAGCATCACCTCGGTTAGCGGTTGTAAGAGTGGGGACTTGCTTTGACCTACCAGAATGCTTTGTGAGAAGCATTTCCACAATCACATTCCAACCGGACCCAGTCTAGGCGGAGTTAGCTAGTAAGTACAAAGAACACAGGGCAGGTGCTCCAGCTCTTCGTACAGTCGGTAACCATAGGAAAGAAGTTGGACACTGGTTCGAGCGTAGGAGCCTGAAACAGTGCTGTCCAGCACGGCAGCTAACTGAAGCAAGCTGAGTTACCGAGCTAAAGATGAGGACACCGCATGACTAATGGGATTAGTGGAAGCAGCAACAAAAGAGCTAAGTCTAGCCAGCTGATCTGAACAATAGGCTTTAAGCATGTGAACAGCCAAACAGTAGAGGGATTCCCATCCACAATAAAGAATAGAGATTGGAAAGACACAACAAGAACAACGAATTTGGCTACCAGGCTACAAGAAATCAATGGACAACACAGATAATGAATTCTCTATTTAGAAACGCCGTATCTATTCGGGTACATGATGCCATCTCTGTTCACGAGTATCTTCAGGCTACGCGCGAAAATTTAGCGGTATATGAAACATAAAGGTTGTAGATAAGTTATCCGCAAAGAATCGGTTAGTGTGTACGAAGGTGGGCGATGGAAGAAGTTTGTTCAAACATTGAAAATAACTATAGGAAACAAAATAGAGTTAATCTCAAGTAGACTGCAGTTTGGTGACCTCCTTCCCACACTTTCCGGGAGAGTAAAACGTCTTTAGTTCTCGACAGAGATATATGTGTATGATCATCAGGAAAAGTTGTCAAAGAAGGGCACCAATTGGGAGCGAACTTATTCCTTAACTTCAAGAGCGTGCTGGTTCAGTTAATAGAGTTTCTTGTGATCATATCCGCTGGTAAGCGATTCCATAAAATGCTTAAATATTACGCTACTTGCGATTTACGATAAGATAAAGATCGGTATTACAGCGGTCGTTCAGATGAGCTCTTATCATAATGTAAAATCCCATTAAGGACTCCACCAGGAAATCAAAACAAGGTGGTAAATATTGTGCTCGAAATCTCAACAACACAGCACTCCAAACAGTGGCGGTCGACGTAATTACCTCAGTCTCACACCTGAAATCACACCGCGATAAAGAAATGAAACTCCTGCAGTATCTCGAACGACAACGGCTCGAGACAGTATCGCGGACGATGAAGAAGCTCGGTGACAGCGACGTGGTGGCTGGAGCGATTAACAAATTGTATATCGTTAACGCACGCATTAATGAACAGCGTCATCTACGGACACTTAGCATCCCAATGTCGGTGACGCGAAGTATGGACAGAAACCGGTTCATACAGTAAAATCCACGAACGTGTCGATGTAGATCAGAAAATCTTTGTTTAAAAATATTGGTCACGTAAATGAGGAGAGTGTGGATTAGTAAAGGTGACGGAGTGCGGGCACAAAAATCGGGCCAATCACCGAGATGTTAAGAACTAAAATTATAGAGAGATAGGAGAGGAAAAACTCACTTCGAAAGCTTCTTAGTTGGAAAAATAAGCTGACATTGAAAAATACATAATTCTATGTAGAAAATCGAGGGAACGGAATATATGAGGAGAGACGTCATTGGAAGCAAGACTCTGATTTTTTGTACAGTATACGTGGTTGAAGAAAAGGTGCAGGGGTTATCTGCATTCACCACGGACAATAAAGCCCTCCAATTTGGATCCGCAAGTTACAGATGGAGCACTAAAGTGGCTCAGAACAACTGGAAGGGACGTACAAGGGAAAGTAGGAGAAGCGAATCTCATCGTTAACTCTCAAGGCAAATCAACGCGAATAGCATCGCACGGCTCAGTTTTGTCGTCTCTGCCTGTGTCTTGTCGTTTGGTTGGAGGCGAGAAAAAGGTGTCTAGGGTAACTCGCTTACGATTCGCCAGGGTGCCATTCTGAGTGGGATCCTTCTCGGTTTTAGAGGCTTCAGTGGCTTCGGCACGGTCAGGAGTTTTTGACACCTGCAATGGAGTGGGTTGCAGCGTGGCGAGAACTGTCCTTTCGGACTCAGCCGCGGTGGCTGGAGTGCAGGTGTTGAATTTATCCATTGACTTCAGTGGTTCAATTAAAACCCTGAGAGAGTCGATTTGAATAGGATGGGTCGATGAGACTGTCGCTGATGGTTGCGGGGATTCGGATTCCGCGGAGACAGTGACCTCGAGCGAGCGGCGTTTAGATGTGGATGGACGACTTCCTTTTTTAGTAATAGCCACTACGTCAGTCAAATAGTGCCATGGAGGGAAAACAATGGAGGAAACTGCCTCGTCATCGGTTGAGGTGCCGAGCCGAAACAGGTCATCGATGCCGGTGATTGTGGCCAGACGTGTTCCAAAACGTCGAATCACCTCTGAATGCACGGCCCATCTGTGAAAACAGGACAAACATTGCTGGACACAGGTGGACGGGACCAAGCCATCATGGTAGGCCGTATAGTATAAAACAAAAAAGGAGTGGACCAAATGTTCAAAACAGAGCACACTTCCAACCAGATGGCATGTAACAGTTCTAGTAACCATGTATGCAACCGGGTGAGGAAAGTCACTCAGCTTATATTATTGACATCCTGCCAATACGTCAGGTGCAGGACGTGGACGAGCCCCGGGTGTCCGCATCATTTCTCCCGACCGGGTGGCGGCCGATGGCTGCCGGATGTATGCTCATGAGCGTGTATCTCAGGGACACTCGCCAATCAGTTCTAGATGATCAATCGAGACACATCAGCCATAAGTTGGATATACGATCGAGAGAGCTAAAATGGCTGCGTGAGAGGTGACCATGTTCTGACTAGCACTAGTTCATTTATCTACTAGTTAGCGCCGTTTCAGTCACGTGCGACTTTTAACCACAGATGTATGTAGTTTGAAATAAAAGAACCCATAGGAGAGATACTAAATAAAAGTATGACGAGTGCTAGCTCAGCTCAGTACAAGAGGTGTTCGAAAAGTTTTTGAGACAGACTATGAGACATGACGATGATAACTGATAAAGCGTGTCGATAATGCTGACTCTTGAAATGGAGGAAAACCGTGTCCGGTGTTCAGAAGAAAATATTGAACGAATGCACAAAGACTGTGACAAAATTAAGCGGCGATTAGTGATTAGGGGATGAAACTTGGATCCACCATTACGATCCGGAAACAAAAGGAATTTCCAAGTAGTAGAAGATCAGGATTTTCCATTGCCCCAGAAAGTCAAAGTTCAGTTCGATACAAGCAAGATCATGTGCACAGTTTTCTATGATGTTGATGTGTCTTAAATGACCATACGCCACATAAGATGATCATCCCTGGTGCCAATTACGTTGATTTGATACGGCGAATGAGAGATTGTATTAGAAAAAAAGTAGAGCAAGGTTGAGTGCTGGAGTGCAGATTCTGAAGGACAGAGCACCAAGTCACACAGCCAAGATATCAAAAGCTGTTGTCCGCGAATGTGTCTTTCGGAAACTCCCTCATCTAACCTATCTTCCTGACGGCCTCATGTGAGTTTCATGTTTCCAAATTTGAAGTAAGCAATTTGCTTCAAATGATACATAGAGGGGGATATTAGGAAGTTGGTTGATGGGGCAAGACACTTCTGTCTGGAAGGTATTAGGCAAATGCATTGCTTATATGAAAAGCGCATGCAAGTTAGGGGTGATTATGTACAAAGATAAGAGTAGTTATCACGATTCCTCCTTAAATATTATGTCAGACTCCAAACTAGTCGAAGACTCCTTGTATAGGCAATCGACTGCCGGCCGGTGGCCGAAGGGAAAATCCGTCCGATTTCTAATCCGATGGTAATCGGTTCGAAGCTGCGTAGGTATACACAACCACACAAGATCCCTATCGTTAGAACGGCATGCACGGAATGAAATCTATGCTGCGGCAACTGAGGTGGCTCGGACATGTTCAACGTGTGGATTCGACTTGAATACCGAAACGACCGCGAAACGTGGGCAAACGGAAGGAATATTGCCAGAACATGGTCAAGGTGAGCTTATCACGAACAAATGGCGACCCAAGGTGTTCAGAAGCAATAACAGTGGATCACTGCCAACGGTGTGACCACATCAGGAATGTCATTGCTTAAGTGCACAAGAATGACTTACATCCGGAAGAAAAGTGCCAGTTCTGGAAGGGATAAGTGCCGATGGAGCCTGGCCCATCGAGGTCAAACACCTGTTGCTGTAGCAGATGCATAAAACGAAACAAGAAAGGCATCAGCAGTACGTCAGTACTGCGTACCGACGCTTAGCTGCTGCGCAATCACCACCGATCGCATGTGGGCTACGGATACTGCAATGGTCGCCCTACCCCTTCGCAGGCTGGAACCCGCGCAGCCAGATTAGAAGAGAAGCTCGTTACCTTTAGGCTACGGGCCGGCGTTATAGCACATGCGGTTGTGTATGCCTCAGTCGAGCCGGCATGATCAGTCATCAACGTGGCATCGAGGGGCCAATATCGAAGAGGCGACGAGTCAGTTGAATAGGTAGGTATCAGGACATGGCAATTAAATTGCTTCCGATGCCAGTTACTAATCTATACCAATAATGCGGTAAATGTGGCACGTGTGCTACATCATGGCTGCAGTTGGTTTGTACGTGTGCCTGGGTGCGTATTTTCTCGCACCTTAGGTGTTTGACTATAGGTATCCCAGGTGTGGGTGCGCGCGAAGTGAATGTTGACAAGTTGCCTATCTGTGGAAAAAACGCTACCTAGATTATACTGCGTCCAGGAGACAGTTGGTAGTTGCTGGGGGGAAACGAGGAGCCAGTCTTCGTGGCGGTGCTAGGCCCAACAAGTGGTTTCATCCAATGTAGAACGGTCAACGGCCTAGCCACAGCTCCCTGTACGTCTGATAGGCAAGTCTCTCCTTGTTCGAATGTATGGTGTACAAGTTGAAGGAATGTGAGCCGGCTCTGAATCAATCGTGGCTTGCATTTATGTGCCTCCCGGTCTTATTCCTTCGGTTTTACACGGGATATGAGGTGTGTGGATGGAGCAGTAGGTGCTGCAATGCAAGGTATCCATTGCTTCTCAGTACGCGCAGACATCATGTGGCTTTTCGCAGTCACAGTGACAGACAAATCCGGAAACGGATGCCGCAAGCCATATGCATATGTATGTGTATAAGTATCGAAACGAATAGCATAGTTCCGCGGAGATTGTGCCGTTTCAACAATGCTGTGATTTGCTTTGACAATTGGGGCCGGATCAGGAAACATGATGTTTAAGGGGAAAAACGAGGCGACGCAGGAAAGGTCGGGAAACATGGAGTTGACTGAGAAACATCAAGTTGTGGGCAACACTTACCGGCCTTCCTCGAACACTGCAATCTCGACTATTTTAGTCAAAATAAGATTCTGACTAAGTGCTAAGTCATCCCAAGCCGGACCCGCTAGAACAGCTCCACAACGTTGCGCGCCAGCGTTTGACGCTGCAGCAGTGTGCTTCTTATACTCCAGGTACCGCGTGCACTCAGGCATGGTCCCGGTTGTGTGTTGGTGCCAAAACACGCGGAACTCAAACGCCAGCTTGGGTTTGCCCAGAGGGCTCTTGTGGACCAGATGGATGAGATAAGGTATGGCTGAAAGGGAGGAGGAGGAGGAAACGATGATGATGAATGAGCCGCAGTAGCATGTGGGCCACATAAGACCCATACGTCCATGCATCGACACACAAGGTAGGGCTACAATGCCTCAGCGAACAACGTATCGCTTTAGGCTAATCAGACGCTTCTAGAGCAGCGGTCCTTCCAGAAAAAGCCCACGAAAGATAGCAAGTTAAAAATTACGCATATACGGCTAAGTAGCTAGTGCCCAATGTTACGAGCTGGCACAAGTGGTGAACGAGTGAGGGAAATGCATAACATAATTTGGGGCGACGCTGAGTATATTGCTCAAGAAGAGCTAATATGATAGCGGAGATATTTGGATACTATTGAGGAAGTACAACAGGAGGAGGCCATGTTGACCCCATGAATTGCCACTAAACAGTGGTTCTGCTCCTTCGCTGTCAGAAATGATCACAGCGTTTGCAATCTACGCCAATCCAGTTAGGTGGCAGAAGCATGCGACCAATCGAACCACACTGACGTCCAATCCCATCACGACAGTAAGTAAACCATAAAATGTAAAAAGGTACGAAGGAAACCGAAATGGCCTTCAAAGGTTTGGGCCGCTGAAGTGCAATGCATGTCGGCATCTTGGATGTAATCGTGATGAGATCCGTTCACTGGTAGCTATCATATGACGACCTGTGGCTTGGACTATAAATGGGGATCAGAAGCTAAATACCACTACGTCAGTTGGTGTGGGAGAGAAAAGGAGGATCGATCAGTACTGGACTGCGATCGTTTTCCGGCACCGATAATAGGAGATCATCAGTGCAGGAGGTTTCGGTGCGATTCTCAGTACCAGTCAGCGTCAAAACTCAACAAAACAGCGTCATCATCACCAACAATGATGAGGATAACAACGGCGGTGCATCAGCAATGCTAACTGATGCCACGTCGCAGTGCAACCAGAATGTCTCATGGGATGATGGATAATAAGGGAGGAAGAAGGTGAATCTAGTGGGAAACCTGAATGCCTCATGTAAACATGCAGGGCCGAGGCACCTACACATTGTCAACAACTTACGTTCCGATCCAACAAATGATGTGAGTGGTGATTTGATCTTAAAGGTTCTACATGCATCACAGTGGGGACGGTCCTCACATACGGAAGCGAACTTAAAGCTATTCAGTCTAAAAATTCAGCACTGGTCGGGACCTTTGATCCACATCGCTTGTGTGTGCCCACAGCAGGCCCTCTGGATGAACACCTACATCTGCTACGGATGCCCATCCACAGAAGAGAAGCAAATTTCGTTTAGCTGATCGAAAAGAGAGCGAGGTTAAAGAGAGAAATCAGTGATGTGGGAGCTGAAAATGGAGTATCTGTCCACCATGCTGTGTACTGAAAGTCTGACTTTTCTTCTGAAATGAGGAGTGCGCTTTCCTCGTGGCAACAACGAGCAGGTAAAAGCCTAGTGACACAGGAGAAATTCTTCTAAGAGAAAAATAAAAGGACAAATGCAGTTCGCGTACACAACAGACACAGAGGATGGCGCGAATCACTGCAGCTGTGATCTCTTGGATAGGGAAGAGGGTGAAGAGATTGCTATCTATCGCCGACATCAGCATATGACAGTATGGTGGATATTTGGGGCGATAATGAAGAACACCATTAATAAGGAATTAACATACGCGATCCGCATCTGATCACAGTGCGCAGACATACTAAGTGGCATGTAAGACCAATGTAAACTTGTGAAATCCAAATTCGTGAAGAGCAAGTTGGCTTTAGTTAAAAGCGAGGATGGATTGATCATAATTTCGCTTCGCGCCATATATTGGTGCACAATTGCTTATACTGATGACCCACCGTATTCATGCTTCTCCACATCATAGGTGCTTAGGATTCGGCGAATCGATGTGCCCATTGGGTTCATCTGAGTAAGAGACGTGCGTGAGAAGGAGGTAAACAGCATCGGAGAGCAACATGCGCGCAGTTCGGGAAAAATGAGAGCGTATGGCAAACACTCGCCGCCTTCCAAAAACTACGGCCGTGTGAAACAGGAATGCCCACTGTCATATTTCTTTCTAACTTCGCTATCGATGAAGTCATGGAAGTTGCACTCACCGGACACGAGTTGCAAGGTGTGGAGCTGCTTCCAGATAATCGAATTCTTGATTTGGAGTGTGCCGACGACATTGCCCTTATCTGACAGCGTACAAACGTGTCAATCAGCGCTGGCTGTCAGTCGGTTCGAGTTATATATATATATATATATATATATATATATATATATATATATATATATATATATATATATATATATATATATATATATATATATATATATATATATATATGGTACAGGCGGGAGAGCCTATGGTGCACTGAGGCTGGTGGTGGCTAGATCTTGACAGATGGTCTACCCACTGCTGCTACTGTTGTGCCATTTGCTCATTTCCTGGGCGCCTCCTCGTGGCGACCGCTGGGTGGGAGTTGGGTTTCGCCCTTCTCCCTGCTAAGATCCAGGACACCAATCCGCCTGAGTCAGTGAACTGACCATGTGCTACACCCGCTGCCTTTCGGGTGTACATTTAATCGAAGGCTTTGGCTGAGGACCCGAGTCGTTCTCCTGTCAGGAGTGGGCGTTCTGAAGTATCCTAGTCCATCCTCTTCGGAGGTTAGGAAGTGGTCGATGGCCCACTTCCCGTAAAACCTAGCCATGGGAGACAACAGGTCTACGGGTTACAAGCTAACAGCTCGATTGGCGTAGAGCACCAGCGCCACGCATTGTCTCCGACGGTGGGAGGGCACCTCCGGGTGTTCAATGGTTTGCTACTGCCCGCCTCAAGTCAGGCAGCCCCTGGTCAAATTGGTGCAAACCCGCCAAAACCCACCTGCGTCTGACCGTGGTCGCAGGTGTATCCAACTACGGTCGCAAAACATATATAAAACGTTCCAGTACCTCAAAGGCTGCGTGTGACGGCCGTCAAGCAGATCCCAATCTGTCTCTGCTCCCCACTGCCTTGTGGGTCAGGCTATTGAGCCAAAGGCTCCGGGTGAAGTCCCTCAAGCAAATCTCCGAAGCACAACGATCCCCTCGTGTGCGATTGCCCACCAATGCAATCGTATGCCTTCGTACAAAGCACTCAGCATCGGGTGCTGGAACGTGCGCACACTACTGGACCGGAACTCCAGCGAGCGCCCGGAGCGACACACTGCACTGGTAGCGATGCAATTGGCGCGCTACAACATCGATATTGCGGCACTCAGTGAAACTAGGATCGCTGAGCAAGGTAAGTTGCATGAAGCAGGTGCTGGCTACACATTCTACTGGGTGGGCAAAGCCGCCTCAGCACCAGGTGAACATGAGGTCGGATTTGCAATATCCGATCGCCTCCATGGCCAGCTGGTGGGTGAACCAACGGGCATCAGCGCGCGACTGATGACTGTTCGCCTACGACTCGGAAGAGGTAAGTTTGTTACTTTTATAAGCACGTACGGTCCGACCATGTGTTATCCTGATGACACACGTGATCAGTTCTACACTGAGCTATCCTCCGTGATACGCTCTGTGCCGAGGAGCGACCGACTATTTCTGCTGGGTGATTTCAACGCGCGTGTTAAGCGTGATGCATCGGTGTGAACAGATGTGATTGATTCGCATGGCATTGGCTCAGCGAATGCGAACGGTGACAGGCTGCTCTCACTGTGTGCCACTCACGGCCTGACGATCACAAACACTAGGTTTGCACTGAGTGCGAGTGATAAAGCAACTTGGATGCACTCACGGAGTGGTCACGCACACCTGCTCGACTATGTCATCGTACGTCAGCGTGATATGCGTGAAGTGCGCATGACATGCGTACTGCGTGGATTTGAGTGTGGCACTGATCACAAGTTGGTGCACACCAAACTGTACATATATTTTCGTAAATCAATGCTTGCACTCCCGCCGTGAATCGGCGTAAATTTAACAATATCTCCCTCGGTACTGTGACGAAACGTACTGGGCTGGACAAGGTGATAGCTGCACGCCTGTGTGATGTGGACTGCATAGCCACAACAATGCGACGATTGGCGCATTGGTGTCGAAGAATGCAGCATTTGCTGCACATGTTGCAGACTCCAGTGACTTGGGAAAGAGTAGTCAGATTCGCAAACTTCGACAGCGACTGACCCGAGAGCTCCGTCGCATTAAAAATGCATGGTGGACGGAGAAGGCGAAGCAGATGGAATACTACGCCGAACGCCGTCAACACAAGGAATTCTTCGACTCCTTGAAGGCGGTGTATGGACCGAGATTGGAGCCGCTGAGGACACTGATCGATGGTAGTTCAGGCGCTACCTGCACACAGACTGCAGACATAATGCAGATCTGGCGAAATCACTTTGACTATCTCTTGAGAGACTGAGAGCGACTGGCCTACAATGAACGGTCTAAAGCAGCACGATGTGAAGGCGGATCTGGCAGATACGCCGACACTGGATGAGACACAGAGAGCACTTGCTCAGCTGCGAAACGGCAAATGTGCCGGAGGTGACGGGATCCCACCTGAAGTATTGAAACACGGTGGACCCGCGTTGTTGACTGAGCTGCACCACCTGGTGCAACGCGTATAGACTGAGGAGGAAGTGCCTGCTGAGCTGAAAGATGCCCTTGTGCTACCACTGTACAAGGGCAAAAGTAGCAAGCAATGTTGCACGAATTATCATGGCATCAACTTGCTGAGTTGTGTGGGCAAGCTGATTGCCCGAATCCTGCTCAACCGCCTCGTCAGTCAGGTTGTGGAACCTAACGTGGCGGAAGAGCAATGTGGATTCGGTTCGGGTCGCAGCATTATAGATATAGTGTTTGCGGCTCGTCAGTTGCAAGAGAAATGCAGAGAACGACACCAGCCATTGTACTCGCTTTTTGTTGGTTTCACCAAGGCATTTGTTACGGTGAGCCGCGAGGCATTGTGGCTGGTGTTGGGTAAGTTTGGTTGCCCACGTAAGTTTGTAAGTTTAATTGAATGTCTGCACAGTG